CACTCATGTTACCCAGGCTGGAGTGCAATGGCGCGATCTCGGCTCACTGCAACCTCCGCCTCCTGGGTTCAGGCAATTCTCCTGCCTCAGCCTCCTGAGTAGCTGGGATTACAGGCACGTGCCACCATGCCCAGCTAATATTTTGTATTTTTAGTAGAGACGGGGTTTCACTATGTTGACCAGGATGGTCTCAATCTCTTGACCTTGTGATCCACCCGCCTCGGCCTCCCAAAGTGCTGGGATTACAGGCTTGAGCCACCGTGCTCGCCCAAAACTCTTCACATGCAGTTTACTTTCATGCATTTATTTGTGTATAATTTCTTTATTCCCTTGAATTCTTAGTGATGAAGTTTTATGTATATTTCCTAGAGCACTTACTACAATGTTACATATTTAATAGTTTAAATATCTGTTAAATTATTGAAAGTCATAGAATTTTAGAGTTAAAAGAAAATTTGACAAGAAACCTTCCCCTAATTCGTAACTCAAGACTTTGTAGGCTGGGGGCAGTGGCTGATGCCTGTAATCCTAGCACTTTGGAAAGTCAAGGCTGGAGGATCGCTTGAGGCCAAGAGTTTGAAACCAGCCTGGGCAACATGGCAAGACCCTCTCATCACAAAAAAAATTTAAAAATTAGCAATGTGATGGCATAACATAGCAAGATCCCGTCTCCACAAAAAAATAAAAAATACAGCCATGTAGTGGCACATGACTGTAGTCCTAGCCACTCAAGAGGCTGGGGTGGGAGGATCAGTCAAGCCCAGAAGGTCAAGGTTATAGTGAGCTATGATCATGCCTTGCACACTAGATTAGGTGAAAAAGCAAGGCCCTGTCTCAAAAAAAATACTTTGAAGACCCCCCTACTTAAACCTTCACAAGAAAAGTATATAAACTACAAGAAAACATCAAAATATATACAGTAGGTCCTCACACTATCTAGAGACAGTTTTTATGCCCAAAAGTATATTGAAAATTCACAGCTTGACTGAGAATCAAATCAAGAACTCAACCCCTTTCACAATAGCCGAAAAAGAAGCAAATAAACTAAAACTTAGGAATATACCCAACCAAGTGGGTAAAAGACCTCTACAAGGAAAACTACAAAACACTGCTGAAAGAAATCACAGATGACACAAATAAATGGAAATACATCCCATGCTCATGGATGGGTAGAGTCAATATTGTGAAAATGACCATACTGCCAAAAGCAATCTACAAATTCAATGCAATTTCCAATATCAAATTGGGATTGCAGTTCTCAATATTAATGCAATATCAAAATACCACCATCGTTCTTCACAGAACCATAAAAAAAAATCCTAAAATTCATATGGAACCAAAAAAGAGTCTGCATAGTCAAAGCAAGTCTAAGCAAAAAGAACAACTCTGGAGGCAGGCATTACATTATCTGACTTCAAACTATACTATAAGGCTATAGGCATCAAAGTAGCATGGTACTGGCATAAAAATACACACATAGACCAATGGAACAGAATAGAGAACCCAGAAATAAAGTCAAATATTTAAAGCCAACTGATCTTCAACAAAGCAAACAAAAACATAGAGTGGGGAAAGGACATCCTATTCAACAAACGGTGCTAAGGTAATTGGCAAGCCACATGTAGAAAAATAAAACTGAATCCTCATCTCTCACCTTATATAAAAATCAACTCAAGATGGATCAAAGACTGAAATCTAAGACCTGAAACCATAAAGATTCTAGAAAATAGCATTGGAAAAATCCTTCTAGACACTGGCTTAGGCAAAGACTTCATGACCAAGAACCCAAAAGCAAAAAGCAACAAAAATAAAGATAAGTAGATGAAACTTAATTACTAAAAAGCTTCTGCATGGCTAAAGAAATAATCAGCACAGTTAACTGACAACCCAGAGTGGGAGAAAGTCTTCACAATCTGTACATCTGATAAAGGACTAATATCCAGAATCTACAAAGAACTCAAACAAATTAGCAAGAATTTAAAAAACAATCTCATCAAAAAAGTGGGCTAAGAACACGAACAGACAGTTCTCAAAGGAAGATATACAAATGGCCAACAAGCATATGGAAAAATGTTCAACATAACTATCAGGGAAATGCAAATTAAAACCACAATGCAATATCACTTCACTCCTGAAAGAGTAGACGTAATTAAAAAAAAAAATCAAAAAGTAAAAGATTGGCATGGATACAGTTAAAAGGGAATTTTTTTTACGATGAGTACAGCCACTATGGAAAAGAGTGTGAAGATTCCTTAAAGAACTAAAAGTACATCTACCATTTGATCCAGCAATCCCACTGCTAGGTATCTACCCAGAGGAAAAGAAGGCATTATACGAAAAAGATACTTGCACATGCATGTTTATAGCAGCACAATTTGCAGTTGCAGAAATATGGAACCAGCCCAAATGCCCATCAGTCAATGAATGGATAAAGAAAAGATGGCATATATGTATACCATGGAATACTACTCAGCCATAAAGAAGAATGAAACTGGTATTTGCAGCCACCTGGATAAAACTGGAGACTCTTATTCTAAGTGAGGTAACCCAGGAATGGAAAACCAAACGTTGTATGTTCTCACTCATATGTGGGAGCTAAGCTATGAGTATGCAAAGGCATAAGAATGATACAATGGATTTGTGGAACTGGGGATAAAAAGCAGGGGCGTGGCAAGGGATAAATGACTACACACTGTCTACAGTATACACTGCTTGGGTGATGGGTGCACCAAAATCTCAGAAATCAACACTAAAAACCTTATTAATGTAACCAAACACCACGTACTCCCTCAAAAATCTATTGAAATAAAAAAATTTAGAAAAAAAATTGACAGCTTGAATTCAATCTGGATTAGAATCATACTTCAGGATATTCTTTTAAAATTTGCCAATTTCCCATGTGATAAATCATCTTTAAAGCTCTGGATTTTTCAAAGTGGTTTTCAATTTTTCAAAGTAATTATGTTCTTTCAGAATCATTTGCTATTTCTAAATCTGAAAACTGGAGACACCTGCATATGAACTATATAATAAATTATATTGTATCAACGTTAAACTTCCTGAATGGGATACATGCTAAAATATTTGGAGGTAAAATATCTGCAACTAACTCTCTAATGCGTGAGGGAAAAAAACAGATAAATACACACACACACGTGCGTGCACACACATACACACACAATCACATTATACGGAAAAAGAGCACGAGTGTGCTTTTGCAGCAAAATATTAAGACACACAGGTACTACTGTACCATATTGTACTATTCTTGCAACTATTCTAAGGTATGAAATTTTTCTGAGGTATGAGGAGAAAAATAAACAAACCCAAACCAACTCATCCTGCCTCAACAATATTCGTTTCATACCTTTAGATCTTTTAGATCTAAACAACAGGGCTTTGAAGCACTGGTACTTTTATTTAATAGCACAGTAAAACTTAAACATCTCTGTCTTAGTTTGGGCTGTTATAACAGAATACCACAGACTAGGTTACTTAAACAGAAACTTATTTTTCACAGTTATAGAGGCTAGAAACTTTAAAATCAGTACCAGCATGGTCATGCTTGCTGATGGCTCTCTTGTGGGTTTGCTGTGTTCCTGCTCTGTCCTCACCTGCCAGAGGATAGAGAAAGAAATCAAGCTCTCTTGTGTCTCTCTATATAATGGCACTAAGCCATCATGAGGGCTCTACCTTCACTACCTGATTACCTCCCAAAGCCCCAATCCCCAAATATTATCATATTGGGGATTAGGTTTCAATGTAGGGATTATGGGGAGACACAAACATTCAGTCCATAGCAACCTCTAAGAAGAAAGAGCATCAAAAGTCAGTACTAGGGATAGATCTCATATGTAAATATCAGCACCATGAATATTTGGATTCATATCAAAATGGCATTCACATATGTTAAAATGTTGGAAGCATGTTTACATTTTCCAGTAATATTTTAACAGGTATGAATAGATGGGCGCAGTGGCTCATACCTGTAATCCCAGTATTTTGGGAAGCAAAGTGGGCAGATGTCTTGAGCTCAGATGTTTAAGACCAGCCTGTGCAATACGGTGAAATCTTATCTCTACAAAATATACAAAAAACTAGCTGGGCGTGGTTGTGTACGTCTGTGGTCCCAGCTACTCAGGAGGCTGAGGTGGGAGGATGGCTGGAGCCCAGGAGGTCAAAGCTGCAGTAAGCCAAAGATCATGCCACTGCACTTCAACCTGGGCAACAGAGAGAGATACTGTCTCAAAAAAAAAAAAAAAAAGAAAAGAAAAAAAAGATCTTAGATGTTGTTTCTCATGTTAACAAAGCAATTCCAAAGGGCATCATGCCTTTAACCCTACTGACAATGCACCTATGTACTTACATTTTCCATAAAAAGAATTATAAGATTAAGTCAGAAAATAAGATCTCCAGTTGTTAAAAAAAAAAAAAAAAAAAAATTGGCTGAGGCCTGGTACAGTGGCTCACACTTGTAAGCCCAGCACTTTGGGAGGCTGAGGCAAGAGGATTGCTTAAGCTTAGGAGTTCAACACCACCCTGGGCAACATAGTGAGACCTCATCTCATCTCTATAAAAAATTAAAAAATTAGCTGGGTATAGTAATGCATAACTGTAGTCCCAGCTACTGAGGAGGCTGAGGTAGGTGGATCGAGAATCACTTAAGCCTGACAGACTGAGGCTGTGGCAGCCTGAGTGACAGAGTGACACCCTGTCTCAATAAAAAAAAGGCTGAACAAACTGAATTAAATATGAAACTCTCAAATATCTAAATAACAAAAACAACTATCAAAAGACTACCAAATGGCTTTCATGTGTATAAAACAAAAACTGACACCCTCAAAGGTTCAACATTATAACAGCCAACAACATTACCATCAATAGTAAAGCCTTTCTCTCCTGTCTTCTGAGTATCACAATTAAAAAAATAATTACAAAATTGGAATACTGTGGGTTAGATAAAACTAGTTATGATTTTAAATATTTAATTTTATATTAAGTTTATTATATAAATTAATGACTATTATATAGTTTAAGTTTGTTTCTTCCTAAATTCTGAACAAAGTTTCATGGGATTACAATCATATAAGAGATTAAGAAAAAAGAGAAAATGAAAAAGAAGTGAGAAAGAGCTCGTCTAAATTATGAGTTAGGAAATGAGTTTTCCCCTAAAATCTCCAGAAAGAAATATAGTCCTATGTATGACATTTTGACTTTGGCCCAGTAAGACCCATGTTGGACTTCTGACATGCAGAACCATAAGATAAGAAATTTGTGTTGTTCAAGTCACTAAATGTGTAGTAATTTGTTACAGCAGCAACTAAAAGCAAATACAAAAATAGAATTAAGTTTATTGTACAGTTGTTTACAGGATTGTATAGTAAACACTGGCTTTGATCTAAAAAAAATGGAATGAGTGATTTAGGTTATAAGGTTTGGGAATTTGCCAATACTAACAACAAATTTATGCCACCAGTTTGTTGCACTAAATTAAAGAATTAAAGATCAAAAGAGAAGCTTGCTTCTCTTTTTCCAAAAAAAAAAAAAAAAAGCTAAAAAACTACAAACTTTATAAAATGAATTAGATAGCACCTCAGTGCAGCACAGAAATAAGAAAAGGCACATTGAAGAGGGTAAGAAGGATGGTTTCACATTACCTGTATCATTCATTCCTACCCCAAGCCTACATAGTACAATGTAAAGAGAAATACCTTTTGTGGGGGAAAAGGAGAGTAAAGTGAGCACATATGTTCACCAGAGACCTTAGCACCAGGTCAACTCCTATAGCCCTAGGCTCAGATCCACTCCTACAGAGCTAACATCCAGGTCAACCCCTGTGGACTCAGATTCCAAGGCCATTTCACTGCCACACCAGCTCTCACAGCCTCAGGCTCCAGGCCTGTTCCTGTGGACCCAGGCACTCAGCCAGACAGCCCTTAACTGTACACCTCCCAATACCAGGCCAGCCCTCCCAGACCCAGGCACTAGGCAAGCCCTCCCTATGAGGCCCTACAAAATGGCCTAACCCGAATCTCTAAATGGTTGACTGCTGGAAGGCATTCCCTGCCAAAGCTGGTATGTAAAGACTGGAAGAGGTGCCTGTTTCTTCAAATGTGCAGACACTAATTAATGCAAGGCCACAAAGATCATGAATAATCAGGGAAATATGATACCACCAAAGGCACAAAATGAAGCAGCAGTAACTGACCCTAAAGAGATACAGATCTACAAACTACCTGACAAGAAATTCACAAAAAACATCTTAATGAACCTCAGTGAGCTACAAGAGAATCCAGATAGAACATTAAAAAGCAGGAAAACAATACATGAACAAAATTTAAAAATTCAGAAAAGAAATAGAAGCCACACACACAACACACACACACACAACACACACACACACACACACACACACACACACACACACACCCCAAACAGAAATTCTGGAACTGAAGAATATAATGTATGAACTGAAAAATTCCATAGAGAGCTTTCAACAGCACACTTAATCAAGCAGAAAGAAGAATCAGCAAGTTCTAAGGTGAGTCATTTAAAATTACCCAGAGGACCAAAAAGCAAAAAGAATAAAAAAGAGTGAAGATATTCTACAGGATTTATGGAATATCAAGAGAACCAATCTATGTATTATGCAAATAAAAGAGGACGAGAAAGAGAAAGGGGCAGAAAGTTTATTTAAAGAAATAATGATGAAAACATCCCAAATCTGAAGAAAAAAATGAACGCCTAAATCCATGAAGCCTAAAGAACCTGAACCTGGAATAGGTTAAACATAAAGAGATCTTTACCAAGACATATTTGAATCAAATTCTCAAATGTCAAAGACAAGGAGACAATTTTGAAAGAAGCAAATGACTAGTCACATACAAGGGAACCATTTTAAGACTATGAGTGTATTTCTCAGCAGAAACTTTGCATGCCTGGAGAGAATGAGATGGTACATTCAAAGTACCGGAAGAAAAAAAAATGTCAACCAAGAATACTATACCTAGCAAAGGTACCTTTAGAAATGAAGGAGAGATAAAGTCTTTCCCAGAAAAACAAAAGCTGAGGGAGTCTGCAATCACTGAAACTGCCTTACGAAAAATGCTAAAGTGAATTCTTCAACTTAAAATGAATGTTAATTAACAACATGAAAACACATGAATTTTTTAGCCTTACTATAAATTCAAATTCAGAATATTCTAATACTGTAATAGTGTGTGTAAATCACTTTCAACTCTACTCTAAAAGTTTAAAATGTATTAAAAATAGCTTAGCCATAATAATTTGTTAATGGATATACAATACAAAAGATGTAAACTATGACATCAATTACACAAAATGTGGTGGGAGGAAAAGTTAAAATGTAAAGTTTCTGCAGGCAGTTGAAGTCAAGTTGTTATCAGTTTAAAATAGACTATTACAAGATGTTTTCAGTAAGCCTCATGGTACACACGCGCGCGCGCACACACACACACACACACACACACGCGCCCCTGTAGTAGATACACAAAACCATAAAGAAGGATTCAGAGCATACCATTATAAAAAAACTATCAAATCCCAAAGGAAGACAGAAAGGAAGAAACAAACTACAAAACAGTCATAAAACAATTAACAAAATGGCAATAGTAAGTCTTACCTATCAATAATTATTTTAAATGTAAAGGGATTAAATTCTCCAATTAAAGGACAGAATGGCTGAAGGCTTAGGAAAACAAGATCTAACTATATGCTGCCTATAAGAAACTCACTTTAGCGTTAAGTACATATATAGGCTGAAAGTGAAGAAATGGGAAAAGATATTCCAAGTAAATGGTAACTAAAAGGGAACAGAAGTAGCTTACATCAGACAAAATAGACTTTCAGTCAAAAACTATCACAAGAGACAAAGAAGGTCATTATGTAATAATAGAAAAGTCAATCTGTCAAAAGGATATAACAATTGTAAAACTATATGCACCCAACACCAGAACATCTAAATATTAATAAATAAAGCACATATTAACAGAAGTGAAAGGAGAAACAGCAATGCAATAATACAGCCAGGAACTACATAATGTTTTGGTCAACAACAAACTGCATATACAACAGTGATCCCATAAGATTATAATGGAGCTGAAGAACTTCTATAGCCTAATGATGCTGTAGCCATTGTAATGCATTACTAAAGTGTTTGTGGTGATGCTGGTATACAAAAACCTACTGTACTGCCAGTCATATAAAAGTATAGCCCATACAATTATATGCAGTAAATAATACTTGATAATGGTAATAAAACTGTTACTGGTTTATGTATCTACCATACTATACCATTTATCATTGTTTTTAGAGTGTAGATCCTTCTATTAGTTAAAAAAAAAAAAGGAGGGTAACTGTAAGACAGCCTCAGGCAGGTCTTCCTGTAGTCTTTTTTGATGTAGGTCTTTACAGCTATAAACTTCCCTTTTAGAAAGGCTTCTGCTGCATCCCCTAAGTTTTGGTATATGTTGTGTTTCCATTTTTGTTTAAGATTTTTTAAAATTTTCATTTTGATTTCTCCACTGACCCACTGGTTGTTCAGGAGTATGTGGTTTAATTTCCACATATTTGTGAATTTTCAATTTTCTTCCTGCTAATGATTCTAGTTTCATACCATTGTGGCTGAAAATAGTATGTGATATGATTTCAGAAAACAGTATTTCATATGATTTCAATCTTCTCGAATTTGTTAAAACTTGTTTTATGGCCAGCTCTGGTGGCTCATGCCTGTAATCCCAGCACTTTGGGAGGCTGAGATGGGTGGATCACCTGAGGTCAGGAGTTCAAGACCAACCTGACTGACATGAAGAAACCCTGTCTCTACGAAAAATACAAAAATTAGCTGGATGCGGTGGTGCATGCCTATAATCCCAACTACTCGGGAGGCTGAGGCAGGGAAATCGCTTGAACCTGGGAGGCGGATGTTGCAGTGAGTGGAGATCACGCCGTTGCACTCCAGACTGGGCAACAAGTGCGAAACTCCATCTCAAAAAAAAAAAAAAAAAAAAAAAAGAGCAAAACCAAAAAAAAGAAACATGTTTTATGCCCTGACACATGATCTGCAAAATGTTCCATGTGCTCTTCAAAAGAATGTATTTTCTGCTGTCAGTTGGAATGTTCTTTATATACCTGGTAGGTCTATTTGGTCTGTAGTATTAGGCGTTCATCTCAGACCATAAACAAAACCCAATTCAAATGGACTAAAGACTTAAATGTAAGACCTGTAAGATTTCCAGAAGAAAACACAGAGAACAGCTTTTAAACATTGGTCTATGCAATGAGTTTTTTTGATATGATGCTCAAAGCACACATAACAAAAGCAAAAATGAACAAATGGGATTGTATCAGACTAAAAGGCTATATACTACGGATTATTATTCAACTTTTAAGAAGAAGGGATTCCTGTCATTTGAAACAGCATCAATGAACCTAGAGGATATTATACTAAGGGAAATAAGCCTAGCATAGAAATACAAATACTCCACCTCATTTATATATGGAATCTTTTCAAACTCAGAAGCACAGAGTAGAATGGTGGCTGTAAGGGACTGAGTAAGGGCAGGGGATGGGGAAATGGGGAGATGTTGTTTACAGGATTCTAAGTTTCAGTTATACAATGAATAAATTCTAGAAATCTAATGGACAGCATGGTGATCATAGTTAATAAGTCTGCACTGTGCACTTAAAATTTGCTAAGTGAGTAGATGTTAAATGCTCTCAATTAAAAAAAAAATATATATATATAGTTACTATATGAGGTAATGGCCTCTCTTGCAGATAGATGTGTCCATGTGATTAAGTTCTGATCAACAGGTTGTAGCATCAAGTGCTGTATGTAACTATTAAGTCACACACTTTTTTTAAACTGCTTGCCTTCCACTTGTTTTTTTCCCCTTTTTCCCACAAACTAGAATGTCAATGCGGTGGTGGTGACAATTCAGATTCATCTCTGCAGACATGTGCAACACCTTAGGGGATGGTAAATCAAGAAGATAGAAGGAACAAGGTCCCTGGATGGCAGTGTGAAACAGAGCTGCCCCAACATTCAGAAGTGGCTGTCAGCTCAAACTGAGCAAGCAAGAAAGGAAAAAAAAAAAAAAAAAAAGACTATTTTCTGCATGCAAAATGATAATACCTACAAATAAATTCATTTTTCTACCTAGAATCCATCTCAATCTTTTGCTGGCGTATTTTTAAACTAAATTTTCCTGAATACCCTTACAAATGTGTATGAATTCTCAAAAGGTATGTCACTACCGAAAAGAATCATGTGAACAGAAAAAAAACCTGATACATTTGGCATACATGGGAATTTGTGGCAGCATGTTAAAAATGAAAAAGAATACATCTTTCCCTTGAACCTTATACCCTCCTGTTTTATAACTAGCCATTTGTAAAGATTTATTCAGAATTAATAGCATACTGGATTTACAATTAGATATGAAATAAAACTTTCTGTGGGAAACGTTAACAGAAAGCTTGATGGGATTACACTCTTGCCTTTTTGCCTCATCCCCAAAAGGAAAGTATTATACATCTGTTACCAAGCAGAAATCTCTCCTATTAATAATATAAGAGAGAAGTTGATTCCTGGGATGACTACATAAATAACTATTTCATTTTCCCAGAAGTCAAATGATAATTTTCACTTACACACTACCAGTGGCAATATTTTCTTTATATTTTTCCCTGAGCTAAAAAAAAAAATATTACTGGAAGTATAAACACAAAAGCTGATGCTAAACAGAAAAAAAAAAAAAAACAAAAAAAAAAAAAAAAAAAACAAAGACTTTGTGTGCTGAACTTTAATAAATCTTAAAGCAATTAAGAGCAAATTGTTAAGGCCTATGTAAACTTTCTTCATTCCAGGAAAGCAAAAGAGGCATCAAAAAGTCCCCCAAGTCCAATACCATCCAGTGTTCATTCACATAAATCCTCTCACAATTTTGAAAGTGATAATTATGGATGACCAAAATTACATGACATTTCTTTAGCATACTAGTTAAAGGTACAAACTACAAAGCCAGACTGCCCAAATTCAAATTATTTCCATCACTTAATATTTCTGTGTCATTTTGTTACTTAATGTTCCTGTCTCAGTATCCTGTAAATGAGGAATATGAATAGAGTTTTGCTTACAGATGTTGTTATTAGAACTTACTCAATTATTAATAGAATTTGGCTCAAAATAAGTGCTACTACTCTTGTATTCCTAGGTGTAGGTTTTTTCCTCTATGTGCAAACAAGTGTGTTTATATATGTACCTATCATATATATGCTTTGATTTAATCCAAAGCTTCAATTCTTCAAGACGCTATGGTTACAATTTCTAGAAACTGTTTTATTTATTCAATAACTATTAAGTATCTACTATATTAAAGACACAGTAATAGTCAAGATTACAACAAAAAGGGTCCTTACCCACGTGGAGCTCACTGTCAGAATGCAGCACTGTCCCATGTAAATATAATGAGATCTACAAATGTGAGCCACATGTAGAATTTTAAGCTTTCTAATGTCTATATAAATGTAAAATAAAATAGGTGAAATTATTTTAATAAATTTTATTTAACCAAATATGTTCATATTACATCACTGCAATGGGTAATCAATAATTAAAATTATTGATGACAAATTCATTCTTTTTTATATCTTTGAAGTTCAGCATGTATTTTACCCTTACAGCATATCTCAGTGTAGATGCTACTGGAAATACTCTGATCTATCCACTTCTTCCCTTCTTCACCTATTGGCATATGAGAAAAGCAGTGAGCTGTCCTGTCCGATACAGTAACCATTTATTTATTTAACATAAGTTAAATGTAAGGAGTCATGTGTGGCTACTTACATTTAACTTACATTAAATAAAACTAAAACTTCAGTTCCTCAGTGATAGTGGCCACGTTTTAAAGTGCTCAATAGCCACATGTGGCTAGTGGCTATTAACTATACTGGACACTGCAGGTCTAGAGGGGAGACTGTGCAACAACTATATTTAGGTAATTTCTACAGTGGAATGATCTGTCAAGTATAGTAGGAGCATTAAAAAAGTAGAAACAATGTGTGCCCAAGGGAAACACAGCAGAAATGTAAAGAATAAGCAGGAATTTGCCAGACAAACAAGTTAGGAAACAGTGTTTAGGAACAAAACCATGAGGCAAGGTCTAGGAGTTCCAGAGTTTATTAGGAAAACTATAAACAGCTCAGGATTACTGAAGACATACATGAAACTGACCAAGGCTTGGGCAGGAACCAAATCCTAAAATTTTTTATAGCCCATGAGATAGCATTGTAGGATACTAAAGACCTGTTGACAAGGACGCCTTTTCTACCTACACTTATGGCAAAACTAAGGAAGGGGAAAGTTAGTGTTGAAATGGGAGGAAGAAGGGAAGAATCAAAGAAGCTATATTCCAATCCAAGAGGCTAAATAAATGTTAAAACATAAGATTTATGAGCATAAACATGTAAAGTAAGTTTGGCAAACACCTCAAATAAGTTAACTGACCATTCTGCCATCATCAACACCAAAGAACTTTATTTTAAATAATCAAATACAAGAAAGTTTGAGATCTTGCTTCTATGGACAGTTTTAGAAATTAGGTTTTAAAATTAGTCTACAGGAACTCTTGAAAATGATACCAAATAATTTCTGCATCCAACAATCTCATTTAATGGAAGCCAATCATGAAAATTTCAAGAGTCCAGTGACATCTGTATTGTTTAACTGCCACTGATTTCCAGGAAGAGTACTTAGAATTGTTCTAGAAAGTCTTATTATCTAAGCAGGCTTACAATATTGAGCTATCACATGTAACACAGAAGGATTAAGAGTCTAACACCAAGTAAAATAAAGAATAAAAATAAAAGTTGTAAAGAAGATATTTTGATTCCTTTAGATTACAAAATATGGTCAGCACAACTACATAACCCAAATGATTAAAATGTTTTAAAATTATTTTCCAAATATAACGCAATAAATATCATAAATGATCAGAGTCAAGTTCAGTAGATATAACCCTTACACTCTCTAAAGACACATTATTTTTAAGGAAACGTGGAATATCCAAAATAGTGTTTTAAGTACAAGTTCTGACTGCTCCAAACTGGCCCATTCAATACTTTATAATTCAGCTTCTACGATAAAGATTTTCAACACATTGCCTGTATTTTAATTATTTGTAACTCAAAACACAAAATATCTTTCAGAACCTATATTCGTCATAATCCTAAGCAACACTCATATGAGAAAATAATAGGGTAAATTCAGATTTTAGACTACTCCAAAATTAAATGTTATTTCAATTCATCTTACCATTTAGATAGCAATTATTATAGTACATGCAAGCCCCCAAAAATCTAGCTAGCAGGTACATTTCACTTCAAGTATTAAAGTATCCTAGAAAACTTTGCTTAATGAAGATTTCTTCCCCACCTCAATTGATTTTCATTAAAAAATTAGGCAGGCCAATACTCAGTGCTTTATGTTTCTGATAAGCAAAAGGCAAGTAAAAATCCCAGCAGAATTTA